ACTTTCATGAAAATGATCATGAAGATTTATGACCTTTGAATTATACTTAAAATAAAACACACACACTAATCAAGGGTAATCTAAGGGTCATAAACTTTTTCATGATCAGTTTCATGAAAGTTTTTTTCATGATCCTATCTTTTCTCATCTATATATATTGAAAAATAACAATAAAAATAAAATCTCAAACAAACCTACATCGATTGAGAACCAAACTATATCTCTATCATCACCGACATGGCCACCACTAATCTCTCTATGATTCTTCTCGAGTTTAATAGTTTCCAGACGAAGCGTTCGCAGAAAAGATTGTTGATTTGTCGGTATATTTTTTATTCTTTACTTCACCTATCAATGCGTAGATGATATATATTTGTTGTATATCGATTGTCTTTGATCTTTGAGAGAATCATGGGCTTCAACTATGGGTTTAAATAATGTTATCAAGATCTTACGTATGGTATCGATTGATATTGTGTAATATCTTTGAAAATATTTAAAATAAAAGAATATTTATATATCATTCTTTTTTCTTTTTTTTATATTGTCCATGTAATTAATTTTTAATGTTTATCCCTAAATATATATACTATCATAAGTAGTGAAATAAGATAATGACAAATAATGGATGATAATAATATTCAAATTCTATCAAAATTTTGTATAGTAAACCAGTTCCATTTTCTTCGATTAAAAAATACATCGCAATTGATTTAATACTCAAAAGTGACTATTATAGAGGTTCTTCGTTAAATAAATAAAATAAAATAAATCCTTGTGTTGTGTATTGGGTTATGATATATTTGATTTTTCATATTTTGGGTTACATTTAATTGTATCGCGTAATCTCAGGTGAATACATTCTCGATCTCAAGTAGGCTATGGAGCCGTACCAGTCATCGTCCCCCGAGTAATGGTATCCACATGTTATTAGACAGCTTCGAACCCATCCATGGCGTCCTTCTCTGTGAAGGAGAAGACAATCGATTCATCTTTTACGAAGCTTGAAACAATCGATCTCTCACAGGAAGAACTAGAAGACATCATGAGACTCCACGCCAAGCGACACGCCATTGACAAAGAAAGGACACAATCGAAATGAGTTCGCAAGCTCTCTTCGAGAGAAACGTACTTATTGGGAATTTGCAGAGGCTCACAGGTCCTAACGTGGCATGTGGGGGTACCTTTATCAAAACATAGGGAAAGAATGTCTGAGAAGCTTCCAGAAGATCATGAGAGGGTGGTTCACGTTGATTATGATGATTATGATGGGCACGACATTGTAGTGGAAGGTGGTGGAGAACACACCATTGCATCACTGGTTTAAAGATTCTTTGGAGGATAGTAAAAATGGAGATTTGGGTTAACAGTTATCATCATCAGGTATTAGAGATTGTCACAGAGGTTTGCCATGGTTTTTCGCACCCGATGGATTGGTGGAAGGTTCTATGATCCTGATGCTTATAATCCTGAAGAGGGTAAGTTTATAATGGGACTTCCAATTCATCCGGAGAGAATGAGGCGACCGACTCTGATGAATTTTGATTATCCCGGATCCCTGCTGCTTATCAGGTAATTTTCTATTTCTGCAACTAACACATAAGCTAGAAACTAATAAATTTTTGTGATCGATGAATGGTAGTTGAAAAAATGGTTATTTGATTTTGATTTTTATTGATTTACCTAGCATTTCTCTATATAGATATATATATATATATATATATATAGAGAGAGAGAGAGAGGTGGACAAAGTCTAGGCACCGAGTAAGGTCTCGTTTGAGAATATGCTAATTTAGTAACTTTTTGATTATTTGGCTAAAAAGGTAGGTAAAAAAAACTTATATGTTTGGGATGATTTTTTGGCTAATTACGAAAAGATGTGCAAAATGTAGAGAGAAAAGAGAATTTTTGACTTGGTATGAGTTGTTAACTTTTTGGCTAAAATAATAACTTTTTGACTTTTTGACTAAAAAGATAAGTCCCCAAACGGAGCCTAAGTATGTGCGTAAATAGATTATAGGGCGCACCACACACGTGTGTACGATGTATAAGCATGGGGATTTTGATATGGTCGATCTAAGGTTTGTTTGTTTATCGTGGAATGGTTGGATTGACACGTGGACAAAAGCTAATCATAGGGAGGGCACGTCAGAGCCGGGTCAAAGCTGAGGAGACGCTGACTTGGGGAAGGGAAAGTGGTAAGCTCTTAGTAACAAAAATGTTAGAGATCCTAAAAATTTTATTAAAAATTTTATCAAATGTGGGATTCATATGGGATCTAGTCCCACATCCATGTAAGACATTTGATAAAATTTTTAATAGAATATTTGAGATCTCTAGCATTACCCCCGAGTAAAGATCACCTCCTCTTGGAGAAGTTAATGATTGGTCATGCGGCACCGTTTAATCGTATTATGATTATAGAGAACTAACGTAATACCCGTGCGATGTACGGTAATAAAATAATTAATAAGTAATTTTAAAATTAAAATTAAACAGTAAACAAATAAAATTAATTAAATTTTAATTATTTTTATCATAATTTCGCTTTTTTCTCTCTCTCTCCTATTATTAATGTTATGTTTTAAGTTCTAAATAATAATAACATGAATAATAATGTAATTAGTAAAAATTAAACAAAAATTATGGTAAATTATAAAATTACACTTTTTAATTTCTATTTTTTAGAATAAAAATTACACCTACGATAAAATATAAATACATTATTATTTTTTAAGGGTTTCATAATTTTAATTTGCCATATATTAGATGATATCGTAAACTATGTAAAACTCAATAATAATTATTATTATTATTTTCTAATTATATTTCTTTAGTATGCCATATAATAGTAATAGTAATAATAATTTTTTTGAAACTCAATCTAGCAAAATTTGTTTAAATCAAAAAATTGAATAACAAAATGAAAATGACAAATAATGAATTATTAGTGACCCTTATCCTCTTTTCTTTTTTCTTTTTTTTTCTAAAATCAACATTTACCTATCAAGTACAACTTTTAAATTTTCTTACAACCGCTAGTTCTGGCATCTCACATTGATCATTTTCTTATTATTCTCTCTCACCTAACTTTGCTTAATGGATTTTCACAACACGAGTGTAATTTTTTAAAATTATTTTATAAACCATAATACTCGTGCTATGTACGGGTTTAAATCAATAATTTTAAAATTAAATAATAACATAAAATTTATTTATAAGAAATAAACAAATTATGGTAGAATGTATTTTTAAAAAAGTGCAATAAAATTACAAAATTTATTTTTACAATGAAATATAAATGCATTTTGTCTTATAAGTTTTGCAATTTTGTGTCAGAGATAGCCCAATCATATAATAAATTATAGGGTCATTCACATGCAAGTCTCATTTTGTGAACTTATAATCCATTAAGTCCTACATAAAATTATTTGCTCCTTAAAGTCTCATTAATTTTTAATAGACCAATTTACCCTTCCAACAAACTCCAGGCAAGCTGTCTCGATGTCGCCTCCCCTCTCCCTTCCGTCCTCGAGTCCTCCATCGACATCCTCGACGGAGCTCCGTTGTTGGAAATTCAGCTCCGCCACTAGAACTACTGCCTCCTTCCCCTACTCAGATATGCGGTGTCGTCGTCGTCGTCGTCGATGAAAATGAAGAACTCAAATTTGCAAGTGGCTCACGCGTGAGGTTGAGGTTGTTGTTGATCTGTCTCTAAACAGATCTACCTCTCTCCATCGTTGCCGATCTGCCTCGTCACCTCCTAAAATTGACGGTCTCTGGGAGGGTTGGGTGAAGAATTGCGTAGATTTGCGGCTGTTGCTTATGAGAGTCCACCGGAAAATAAGGACTCAGAGCTGGCGTCGGAGACTCGTCCGAAAGGTGATGAGTCCATTAATTGTGAAGTCTCGGTTTTCACTGAGTTCACAGATGCCACTGCCATTAGAGAGAGAGAAAGAGAGAGAGATCTAGGGTTTTTTTGAAATTGAGAACCTTCTCAGTTTATAATATTCTCAATTTTAATCATGAAAAAAATTGAGAAATTTCTCAAAATTGATAATTATAAATTTCTTAGTTTTGATAATATTCTCAATTCATACTAGAAAAAAATTAACAAATTTCTTAGTTTTGATAATTATAAATTGAAAACATTCTCAGTTTTGAAATTGAGAACATTCTCAGTTTTTGGATTTAAAGGGCAAAGCGTCTTTTTACTTGTAAATGGGACTTATTGGTTCAAAAACTTTTTGATAGGACCTAAGCTACCACCAAATATGTAGATAGGACTCTTAGGTAATTAATCCTTCAATTAAAATTAGATTAAAAAATTTAGTAATTACAATAAATAGTTAAATATTTAGGATTAATTGTGAGCTAAAATATAATTAAATTAAAATTAGAATAAAAATTTAAGAATTATAATAAATAATTAAATATTTAATTGAATTAATACTAGACATTATAAATAATGTGCATGAGAGATGAGAGAGAAAAAAATAACAAAAAAAGTGGTGCTCTAAAGCACCACTAGACATTATAGGCAATTCACGTCTATAGTTAAACAACAATGCTACATCCCACTAGAAGTGGTGCTCTAAAGCACCACTACATAGTTATTAAAAAAAATTAAAACTTGATAAAATTTTATATTTATATTTAAAATTATTCAGTATTTATAGATGTGGTAGACACTAAAAGTGACATAATTTAATTAACTCAACATTTATCTCAACTTGGCCTTGATATAATTATTAGAAAATTGTCTTAATCTATACTTAAGTATGAACTACTTAACTTATTTATTCATTAAATTGGTGAATAAATATATGTTAGTATTTTTTTATAATAAAATATGTAAGAATTGACTTAAGGATTTATAGTTGTGCTAGACTCTTACAATGACACAATCTAATTAACTCAATATTTATCTCAACTTCGCCATGACCTAACCTAATCATTAGATAATTGTCTTAGTCTATACCTACACATGAACTACATAACTCATTTATTTATTAAATTGGTACATAAATATATATTAGTATTGATTATAATAAAATAATAACTATGTACATGTTTATGCATAGTTATTGAAAAAATTAAAACTTTGATAAAACTTTATATTTAGATTTAAAATTATTGAAGATTTATAGTTGTGCTAAACACTAAAAGTGACATAATTTAATTGACTCAACATTTATCTCAACTTGGCCATGACCTAATTATTAGAGAATTATCTTAATCTATACTAAACATGAACGACTTAACTCATTTATTTATTAAATTCTTAAATATATATATATATAATTTTTTATAATAAAATATATAAGAGTTTGCTTAAAGATTTATAATTGTGCTAGCACTACAACAAAAAAGGGTTTTTACAGCGCACAATGCACGCCGTAAAAATCCTTCTACGACATGCAGCACGCGTCATATTATGACCAGTCATGGAAAGTCATTCACTTTTAACGACATGCTTCGTACGCCGTTAAAAACTATTTAACAACAGATTTTGTGCGTCGTCGTTACTTTTTCTATGACATGCTATAATATGCTGTTAAAAACTATTTAAAGGCAGATTTTGTTTGTCGTTACTTTTTCTACGCCTACTTTTGCATGCCGTTAATTGACAAGACAAATAATGAGGCTGATTGCGCGCCGTAAAATATGTAATACAACGACTAATTATGCCTGCCGTAGAATATGCAATTTTTTTTTTTATTTTTAAATTCAGCATGTTACAATCTAACAAATATTACAAACAAGTATCACAAAACATCAATCAACCACAAAAATATTATTTGAAACATCAAAAAGAAACTATATCCATAAATTATAAACATTCAACAATTGTCTATACATTCCAAACATTCGAAAACTATATCCTTAAATTCTAAATTGTGCAAAAAGTTTAAACCATCCAAAACTATGCATATCTAACTTTCTAAACATATCGACAATTATTAATAGATTATTTAAAACTATCAACAACAGTTCCTATAGCAATTGTAGCTACAACTATAGCAAATCAACTTGCTCCTATCATAGGGGCGAGGGTACCCAATGTATGTGTTAAGGCATCTAAACCCGCAACAATAGCTGGAGCAACTAACCCTGCTGCATTTCTTGTCCGCATGGCAAGGGACACTTCACATAAGTACAAAAACCAACGAATCAGGGACAAAAGTATTTCTTGAGGTATTAAGAAATGATCAAGAAATTTTAAAACATCAACAAAATATTTTCAAAATTAATAAGATAATTTAATGGTTCCATAAAAGCAATGCCATAATGAAAAATAAGCAAAAATTCAATATCTCAATAGTCTCAACGTATATGCAAATAAAATTCACATAAAGCAAAACATTTTTTTTCATACCTCTAATGAAGTTGCCTTTAATGAAATTGCCTCTTTTGTTGCAATTTTTCTAGAGGAAAATGAGTAGGAATCTTCAAACAAACCATTAAGTTTGTACAGGAAAATATAGTTTGGTACTAAATCTAGGCCATAAGAAGCTCAAGAGAAAAATTAAATTTAAAAAGAGGAAGAGGTGGAATTAATCTACTTCAATGCAACACCTACTTAGGACTTGCATAATTATCTTAAAGGATCTCCATGTAAGTGTTTTAGATTTATATAGGTCTTATCCATTACCATTGTAAGTTCCAAAATAAAGAGTCCAAGTCAAATTAGAGTCTATATTATTTACAAGTTTAAAAAGAAACTTTCAATCCATTATAGAAGAAATTTAGATAAGTTTTAGTAGCTTGAGGCGCTTTTTGGGACAATGTGATGTAATTCTACCTGAGTACTTAGTAGCAAATACATAAGATAAAGAACTATAGGAACTATAGCAAATACATGAGATTATTATTTGTAGTTTATCTATAGATCAGTTGGTAAGAAAAATATCAACAAATACGTCACAAGAGAAGCAAACATGTTTTATTATTTTATTTTTTTTTTTACAAAAAACATGTTATGTTGAATGAAAGTGTAATGAATAAGAACAATAATAACAATAATTAAAGAAATGAAGATAAGAAGAAATGTTCTAGATTATTTTTTAGGTATCATGGTTCATACAATGTGGAATGCCCAAGACATGCACATGCATCAAGTAAATCCAGCTTACACAGACATCAATGACATGGCGAGATTAAAGCTTACAGGTATTAGCTTGTGTGGAAATTGAAGACCATCAGTGCCTATGAATGCCCCTCCATTAATCCTCTCATCTTGTAGTGCTTCCCCTGCAACCATAGGATACCAAAGCTAATGATACTCTAACAAGGCAACCTAGATAAAATCGGGAAAATAAATCCTAAAAACAATACATATTTATAATATAAATGAATATTTTTTGGCGAGAAATCTATACCCGAAAAAAAAAAAAAAAGTTGTTGATCATTTACCCTTTTCTTGATGTGTAAAAAGCTGCAAATGTTTATAAATGATTCAAGACATGGTTTTATGGTTGAGTTGAGATGGATTAATACTATCATAGTAGATTTTCCCTTAGGAAACATTTTTTATCAACTATTTTAAAAACCCACTTATTAGGCATCAGCATCTCATATAAAATCTCAATTATCAAGCATGTCAAGTACAGGAATTAACGGTAGTACATGGAAAAGAAGTTCATCAACTAACCTGTAGTTCTTGTAGATCTCGGGTGCAATTAAAAGGAACTGAACATCTCTAATACTTATATTACCGATTGTCTTTCTTCCACCACTTTCAACCACTGGTACCTCCACCAACTCCCTTTTATCTCATCAATTTAAATGCCTGCAAAACTGTTTCATCCTCATAGACCTGCAAAACAAGATGAAACTATTGAAGGAAATTACTAAATCACAAAACATAGAGCCAAAACTGTGTTTTTTTTTTTCTTTTTTTTTTTAAGGTAAGTAAGTTATAAATTAAAAACAATAACATATATAGGTTTACAAGAGGCATCCCTCAGGCACCACAGAACTAACAACAGACACAAAGAAAAAAACAAAAGGCTCTTTAGCCAGACAACATTGTCATCAAACGAACATAAACTGACACAAAAGACGCAAAAAAGACAGAAAAACAACACAAAAAAATGCAAACTAAGTCCATTAGGATCAGCAAAAAACAGAGCCCAATAAAAAAACTAGCCCAATTTGCTGCACCAACCAAGCAGATCAGCCACCTCTTACCAGCAGGAAGACAACAACAAACAGTAACAAAACAAAGGTTGGGCAGCATACAGTTCAGAAATACAAGAAGAAAGCAACTGCAGACAGCACCAGAGCATGCACTATAAAGAAAACAACACTGCTACAGGGAAGGAAATATAGTAGCAACATCATGGCAGCATGAACCACAGACACAGCTAAGACCAAAGTCAGTATGATAGCAGACAGCAGACAATAGGCAGCAGCACCAGCAAAGCCACACAAGTGGAGCCACAGACTCAACAACCAGCAGAGAACCATATACACCCATCCATGGGCAGTATCTATACATGAACTACACAAATTTCAACTCAACAGTAGCAAAATTCAGCATATACCACAGCCAGCAGAACAACAACCAATAGAAACATAGTCCATCCCAGCAAGCTTCTGCCAAGACCAACCCCAGGACAAATGCAGATGTACACTTGAACTACAACATATTATAGACCTATGGGGGGGGGGTTTGAATAGATACAATAACCTTTGTGTAACAACTCAGCAAGGACACACTGACAAATATTCATTACAAACAGACAGCAAGACTGGGTAGAGTAGACCCACAGAAACAAATAGTCCTCAATCACTCAACCCTCAAGATGCAACACACAGCACTCCAAAAAAATTTATGAGGGCTAACCAATCACTCAACCCTCAACAAAAAAAAACTCCCTTACAATTAGGACCAGCTTGACAACCTGCAGAAAAGAATTAGATAAACTATATGGCTCACCATCACTCAACCCACAAAAACCTAGCTATAAAGCCTCACAATCTCAACCCTCCTCCCTACAAGAGACCAGCATTGACAACCTGCAAAGAAAATAATGAGCAAGATAACAGCATTATGGATATCTTACATTACACAAGACTCATATATAGGCTCTCAACACTCACTCTCAATAATCTCCATCGCAATACTAACTGTGGAGGCTCACAGTCACTCAACCCACAACATCCCTAAGTAAGTACCAGCAAAGTCCTGAATATAAAGGAGAAAATGAGGCAGCTCCAAAGGACTGATCCAGGAGACCTGCAAGAGGAAGATCCAAACACACAACAATATATATAGAGACACTGGAAGTAAGAGTACATACAACTCAAAGAGCATGTGCCCTCAACACTATATGATGAAGATGCCATGAGTCCATAAACCAATCATTATCCCCATCCTCCTTGAAGTTGTTAACAGATAAGAGCCTGCACCTAACCAGAGATTCAACTTTTCTCACAACCACATTAGCAGGACTACCAACAGGTGAGAAGATCCTAGCATTTCTCTCCCGCCAGATACAGTAAATAGTACAAGTAAGCATTAATTTCCTAGTATTAGAGGACAAAGAATGACCAGAGAATTGCTCAGATAACCAGTCCACACAACTGCCCCAGTTCATAGCTTGCCAATGCATATTACATTTATGTAACGGAGGGGCCCAGCACACTAGAAGAAAAGGAACAATTGAAAAATAAACAGTTTAGCAGCACCAAACCATACAGCAGTAGTTTACCAGTAGCAGCAACAATACAGTAGCAGTAGCACCTCTTTATAAGCACCAAAACCAGTGAGCAAACAACAGCTGCAACTAGAAATAGAAAGGAAGAAAACAGAACAACAAAACCAGCAGCAACTCAACTCCCCTGTGTCACAACTTTCTAACAAACTCATATATTTCTTTTCTTATATACGTCATAATGTAAAAACCATGATAAGTTTATTATTGATCAATAAAATAGCAATTTCACACACAATAAAATATAACTTGCTAGGGATAATAGCAGTAATCAAACCAGGACTCTAGTAAGAAAATTTAATTAAGGAGATAAGTCATAGCATTTGCAAATAAATCACATACTTACGCTGAGCCAAAAGCCTAACCAGCAATGGAACAACCAAAAACTTGGAGTGCTAAAAACTAGCCATTAAATGCCTTTTATTTCCCAATGATGCACTTATTGTCTTTACGGATTCAAGGACATATCTAATCACCACAAGAAATTCAAAAAGCCAGCACAAACTCACTTTAGGAGAAATTATTGTCATTCCTTAACACAAGCACAGATTCACTTACAACAAAAACAAAGAAAGAAGTCATTTTTATCCATAAAAAGGCAATTACTTATACATATCTTTGTTTCATTTCAAAAGGGGGGCTGGACAGGGGACAACTTCCATAAAACAAATCAATTATTCATAACATGTCATAGTAACCAAGACATCAATGAGAACAAGAGTAAGTCCAACTAATTGTGGAGAATGTGAAGAAGTATATCTAAAAGCACAATCTAATTACCTTAGTTCACCATATTCTAATTCAATCAATTTTACACCATCAAATAGATACTGCTCGTCTTCCATATCATCTCTGAAATTACCAAGACATGGATGCAAAATTAAAACCGATAAAAAAAATCATAAGACAAAATCTTTTTATGAAAGTTTTACCAAGTTACAATCACCACTGTCTATATAAACACATCTACAAGTAGAACAGAAACTAAAACATAAAGAATATAAAACTAAGATGTGACATCCTATCATACCTAAGCTCCTTCAGTTTCTTTTGCTCCATTTTCTTCAAATACTCTTGCCTTGAAACTTTCTTGAAACAAGAGAATGGAAGAAAAATAAGCATAGGCTTCGGTAGGTGACATAGACACACCACCAAGTTCAAACAAATACAACAAAGAGGCAAAGAAGGGAATATTGCAAAAAAGGGTTTAGTTACGTAGTATGTTGACATTATTGAGGTGGTGTGCTAGAGCAATCACATTAAAGAAAAAATCCAAAATAGTTTATTTGCATTGTATATTGCACTGAAATCATAAAGAATGGAGAAGAGAATGAATTAGAGAGACCAGAAATCAACCCGCACATTCAATGTTTTCCACACAATGAATAAGAAAACAACCTAGAATTGCAAACCAAAGCATATTAATCAGCAAAAATGAGTACCTCGTCCTTACGAGAACCAGTTAAAGTACCACATCGATCTGCAAAAGAAGAAGAAAAAAAGACACAGTTTACACTAATGATGTCCAATAAGAAAGTAAATTCACAAATGTATATATATAATCAAACAAATCAAAATCACTAATAACAAAACAAAATTAAACAAACATTGACAACAACATTAGATTTGATCAATTTCCTCCCTATTAAAAACCCTAGAAATCAAGATATTTTATCAAATTCGTCACTGTCAAAAACCCTAGAAATCAAATCCTAGCATCATATACTAGCCGAAATCAAAGCGCATAGATAATTGACAAAGTATCTTTTTGTTTGGACCCTGCATCAGATATAAACTTCTTGGTAGTTGAATATACACAGATGAAATAAAAGCACACATCACTGCTGAAATTGGAGAAACAATGGAAATATATCAGAACTCAAAAACGTAACCTTGCTTAGTGCAAGTGTAAAGCAGTTTTTTACTTAAGGTAGGTCTCCTTTTTTCCAAATGCAGTTACCTAAGCAGAGCCAAGCATCTGCCAGAGATGGATTCAACTTCACCTGGAATAACATCAGCCAATTTCAAAACGTAACCCTCAGCCTGAGCAGTGCAGCACATAAAACAATCAGGATTGAAACTTTTTTTTTCTGACTTACAGCTTTTGAAAGGTGGTCTTCTGCTTCGTTTTTTGTAATCAGGAAATACATCTAATATCTTCCCCCTCAAATATTCATGTGTTAGCGGTCGTGTTTGTTATTGGTTTTGCTTATTGTTTTTTTTTTTGGTTGTTTTTTTTTTTTTTTTTTTTTTGGTTTTTTTTTTTTTTTGGGTGTGGGTATATTGTTCCAGAAACAAAATGGTAATTAGAAGGAGAAAGTTCTGCGAAATTGTAATGTTTGACGTCACTGCGAAATCTCAGTTCTAATCTGTTAAATTTTATCATGATATAGTGACTCCGTAACAATTACTAGTCTAAAACCCCGTTTCTTCGTTGCCCATTCATCAATTTCAATTTGAACTTCAACTTCATTTTCATTTTCATTTTCATTTTATAGTTGGTCGAAGCCTTGAATGAGTGATCATTGTGTGAGTCTATATATTTAATATACACACATAGATACATATACAGGCAGAGAGAGAGAGATGCATATATGGCCATCGATGAAGGTCAAGGAATCGTTCAAGGTAGCATACCTGGAGAAACTGGAGTTGAACCTCCACAGAGTAACTCTGACTCTTCTTCGAGGTCTGACTCTTCTTCGACTCGATCTCCCACCCGAGCGACGACTCGTCAGAGTAACTTTGAACTCAACTCGGCCCGACTCAATCTCGTTCGCAAATCTGAGAGAGAGAAAGAGAGATGCCCCAAATGAGATGTGTTTAGGGAAAATCTGAGAGAAGAGAAGAGAAGAGTATGAGTGTGTATTAGGGTGATATACCCATCCGTAAAAATCGATCCACCCGAATTGATCCGTTTTATTTTGGACGAATGCGTAATGACGAGTGAAAGGACAGTTACAGATTGATTTTCTTCAATCTATCAATCTGACGGATGGATAGCGGATTTGAGATTCCTTCGGCTGCAACCGAACCGCTAAACTGCAAGTATCCCTAATAATTTATAAGACTTTGTATTTTCAGTTTGTTTAAATATTCAGTTTGTGTTTTTAATTAAAAAAGAGTTTAAATATTCTGCTGAAAAAAAGTTTTTAACTTGAATATTTTTTTTTGAATTGAAAAAAAAAAACGTATTATTTATCTATATTTTTGGTTTTTAAATCTATCTCTAAAAATAATAAATAGAAAATATGATATATGCTGTCTGGTTTTTGTTTTCAAAAACAGATATAGATATGACAATACAGAGACATACAATCTCTACTACTGCTCTGTTCATGATTTTGGTAGTTTGAATTATTTTTATATTTTAAGAACCACAAATTGTAATACATTATGTGGATGAGACATGTTGTGATTGTAGTATGTGGATGAGGTATGCAGTGATTGTGATATTCTAAAGTTTCAAACTTTCTTGTTTTAAATGAGGTATGCAATGATTATAATATTTTTTTAAGTCATTGACTGTAATACTTTTTTCTTCTTTTTTTGAGGAAGTGCACAAGTTGAATTATGTTGAAAATTTATAAATTTTAAACCGCCAAATCGATTCCCATCCATTCGCCAAACCGCCAAACCGCTCAATCCATATCCGCCGGATTGGCGGACGGATGCGAATTGATTTTCTCCAATCCGCCAATCTGGCGGACGAATGGTGGATTGGAGGTTCCGTGGCCACAATCGATCCGCACCCACCCCTAATGCTTGGAATTAGGGGTGATTAGACATTTGGATGACCCGATAGATCCGCCCGCTCTAGTCGGTGAGCAAATGCTTGGATCGGGTGGCGGATAATCAACCCCTAAACCGTGCACGCCCGACCCGCCCATATGCCTTTTATGATTATTATTTTTAGTGATTTAGTTCTCTCTTCTATATTCCCCATCAGCAGTGGAGAAAGAAACAACCAAACCCTACCATTCTTGTCTTTTGTCTCTCTACATCAGCTCGATTGGCGGTGGTGACTGTACAACGGCGATGATCCAGCGACAATCGACAGCTCTACAGCGCGGCAGCAACGACGATACGCTCTTCTCCTCTCCTCTCTTCTTCTCTTCTCTTCTATGTTTTTTAAATCAGCGATTGATGTAATCTTTTTCTAAATCTTTTTTTTTTAAATATATGTTAGTATTTTTTATAATAAAATAATAAATATGTACACATTTATGCATAGTTATTAAAAAAATGAAAATTTGGATAAATTTTTTTATTTATATTTAAAATTATTGAGGACTTATAATTAGACACTAAAAGTGACATAATTTAATTGACTTAACATTTATCTCAACTTGGCTCTGATTTAATTATTATAGAATTGTCTTACTATGCCTAAATATGAACTACTTAACTCGTTTATATATTAAATTGGTGAATAAATACATGTTAGTTATTTTTAAAATAAAATATATAAGAGTTGACTTTGAGGATTTTTAATTGTGTTTAGAGAGTAGAAGTGACATAATTAATCTAATTGACTCAACATTTATCTCAGTTTGGTCATGACCTAATCATTAGAGAATTATTTTAATCTATGCCTAAATATGACTGCTTAACTCATTTATTTATTAAATTGGTGAATAAATGTATTTTAGTATTTTTTATAATAAAATAATAAATATGTATGCAGAATTATTTAAAAAAATTAAAAATTTGATACAATTTTATATTTATATTTTAAATTATTATATGAATAGTCAAGTGTATTTATGTTTGAAAAAACTATTCAAGATCAACCTAAAATATGGGCATTGTTTCAACCATATTTTGTAACTGATTTAAAATTTTGATCGATTAATTAATAGAAATAATTGGTAATAATCAATTTAAATTTATTATTATATTATAATTTCTCAAGTTTTGAATATTATGAACTAATTTGAGGGATAACACTGGCATTAAATATTAAAAGTTGTTTAGATGTTAGATTAAGATCAATTTTTATGCCTACATTTAAATTCTTGGAGAATTATCTTCATTCATACCCAATTCACGGTCACTTAACCCACGTTTTTTTTCTTTAAAAATCGGTAAATATATTATGATTATTTTTCATAACAAAAATAAGAAAATGTATGTATATTAATTTATTTTTTGTAAAAAAATTATATATTTATATGAAAAATTATTAGACAAATAATTAAGTATATTTATGTATGAAAAAATTATATAATACTGGATCAACGTAAAATATAAATGTTGTTCAAGTTCTACCTTGGGCTCGATTTAAAAATTGATCAGTTAATTAGTTAAAATAGTTAATAATAATCAATTTAAGTTTATGTTTAATAATTTGTTAAGTTGTGATGGGTGTGAACATATACTGGATCAAATACTAAAAGCAGTGTAGAAATTGGATTTGGTTGATTTTTATGCTATACATCCAATTTTAGATAATCATTTTGGTTCATGTCCAACCATCACATTGCCCACTTATTTATTTTTTAAAATGGTAAAAAATATGGTAAAAGTTTTTATAATCAAAATAAAAAAATATGAATATATATTTGGCATATTTATTAATATTTTAAAACTTCAATTAAGAAATTATATATTTATTCTTAAAATATGTCTAATATTAAATTATATTTACATCTGAAAGAATTATTTAAAATCAGATTAAGTTAGTTCATAGATTTTATTTTTAGTATAGAACTTGATCAAAGAAATGAAATCTCAAAACAGATCATAATTTTCAATTTAAATTTTATTAGATTTTTATTTAATACAAATTTTCACGTAAAATGTTTTAATATTTTAAAAATAATTAATTATTTGTGAAATGAAGTTACATTATAAAAAATACTAAAAAAATTGTCTTTTAATAGTGTAAAATCCATTAACTAAAGAATTAAATTGATGAGATATAGATTTTTTTTTTTGAAAACAAAATCAATGAATGTGGCTAATAGGAAGGGTGCTTATAATTATACACATTTAATTTCTTTTTACACCCATCACATGTATTAAAATATATATAATTTACGCATAAATATTAGTACATATGAGTGTACAAAATAAATCAAAAAAGAAAAAAAATGTACAAAAGAAATTAATGTGTGTAATTTAATCAAAATATTTTGAAGGTTGATAATTTTTATCATGGATTTTAAATATTTGAAAATAGTTATATATGGTATGAATAATATAGTAATATAGTAAGAAATAATTTTTTATTTTTTTAAAGGAAATAAAAATCATTAGGAGAAGATTAGGTTGGAAAGATATAGAATATATATATTGTTTCTTTTCTTTTGAAAACTATAAATTACGAAAATATTAATATTTTGAAAACTATTACTTTAACGGATTAACTAATACTATTTTTTTATTTAATAAATCCACAAATTCATTATGAAGTTTTGGAACTCTCACAATGCGCCTCACGAAAACCCCATTTTACTTATATAATATATAGATAGATAGATAAATTTAATAAAAATTTATATTTGTTTTAGATATTTTTTTAATACACAAATTATTTTTTTTAGATTTTTTATAAAAATAATTTAATAATCCCACCACTAACTATAATGTATGAGAAAAGTTAAAAAGTGCGGCAATATGTACGGGAGAAGTCAAAAAGACTTATGGATTAGGAGAAATCAATAAATATTGAGATTTTTTTTTTAAAATCAAAAAATTAAAAAATTAAGATTGAAATATTAAAACTCTCACAAAATTGATGGGTTAGAAATCTTCTGTTCCTTATATAATATATAGATAGGGTTAACAAAATTTTCTTAGTTGGTGTCCTCATCCACTTTTTTCCTCCTGCCAGCTACTTTCAGCAAGCCAAACATGGAGAAAATTATTATGTGTATAATTATGGAAATAAAAATATTTAAAATTCACAATTTTTTTTTTATAATAATTTGATTGTTGATTGACAATAATGTGATAGGATACATGTCAAATTTTGATTTATCATATACTTAATTATGTAGGACTTCTTTTACCACATCATTATAGGTAAATTTAGGGATCCACAAAAGTCTCTAAGGCCCCGTTTGTTTTGGGTGTAATGGATGGACTGAGATTAGGATGAAGGTGGGACTATTTAGTATTGTTTTTGTTTGTAGAGTTGGGGAAAGGGTTAGGATAGAGGAGGGGATTAAGATGGAGGTTGGAAGGGGGATTGGGATGGAAGAGGTGGAGGTGGTATTAGAAAAATAGTGAGGGGATTAGAAATTTTTTTATTTTTTACGTATTGAGAATTTTTTTTTGAACATTAATGTTTAATTTTTTTATATTTTTTATTTGTTTTATTATTTTATATAAAAATAATTTAACAATTCCTATACTAACAACTATTATCAAAACAAATATAATTTTACTTAATTCTCTCACTATCAATCCCCTCACTATTAATTCCTTCACTATGAATCTTCTCTATTCTACCTCTAAAAACAAACGGGACCTAACATTACTCTTAAGCTACGAACCCAGATTTATGGTGCCAGAATTGGCCCAAAATTAATTTGTATAATGGAGATCAAATTGTTGAAATATAGAGTCTATGAATGAAATGAATTTGAACTATTAATTATTATTTCTGGATAAATTTTTGAATACAAATTTAAGAATTTGTAGTCTCTCCTTATAATTATAGAAACCAGCTATATAAATTATTTTATTTTATTTTTTACAAATTGATATTACCTCTAATAAAAAAGTATTGAATTTTGATATTGATTTATTGAAATAAAATAATTGAAACAATTCCAATTGTCGCATTAGTTTATCACATTATTTCAAAATTTATTTTTAATTACATGTCAGTTGTTGATTTGTTTAGCAATCAATTAAAA